GTGTGAAGCAGGGACTTACAGCAACGGCTCGGGTAATACCAGGTTCCTTGGCATGCAGATCTGACAAAGTACCTCCTTAATTCCTGTGTTTCCAATAGATGAGATTTTTCCCACCTATATTTTTAATGGGCTCTCTATTTTTCTCCTGCCACATTTAAACCATTAATATAAATCCAATAGAATTTTACTTTCTGTAATGCACCTTTTTTGCACTTGTCTCTTAAAATGCTGAACAGAGCAATTAGAGTTAAAGAAGAACAGAGGGGCAGAAAAATTTAAGAGGTGCAGAAAAAGGTGAAAATGGTCTCAGATGTGCCTTGAAATAAGATGAAGAGTTACTGGGGAGAAGAGATATAGGGAGATGGTTCCTGCAAGCAGAAGCTGCAAAGAAGAAGACACTTGCACCAAGGAGAAGTCAGAATATAAGGAGGGTCAAGAACAGCAGCAGAAATAGATGAGCTGGGATGTTTTCCCTCTCAGAGGGTAATTGCTGGTTGGAATTCCCTGTTAAAGAATCACTGGCAGAGTCCACCTTGCTTATTCTGGGGAGAAAAGGACAGGTATTGGGACTGCAGTAACATCACAAGGAGTAAAGGTGAGGCGGTGCTTACCCATACAATGCCTCTGCTGATGTGCACTGATGGATACTGGTCACCAGGTTTGGGGGATGGGGAGGAGTCATACCACCAGGTCATAGGCCTTCTCTTGATGGATAGAGTCATACTTGGGGCCACAATGAAGGATCAAGGTCCCATCACTTGGCTAAAGAGTTTGGTTTGGGCCAGTCCCTGCTGAGATGAGAGCGGGGGCCATCAGTTTGCTTTGACGGCAGGAGACTTTGGGGTGTCAGCCTTTTCAGGCCTGTTTCAGTGTCCCCATCTTTTAGCTAGTACAGAGGGAAACCTTGCTCGGTCATAGAGACTTGTCTTGTCTTTCCAGCCATTCAGAACTGTTGGCCCTGCCCTTTGAGCGAATGGTCAGAAAGGGGAAGCACGTCATGCTGGCCAAAGAGCTGCGTCTACCTGTCCTGGTTGGAACCCATCAGCATATCCCTGGCGAGCTTGGTTGCCCTGGGGATGCTGCTCACCATCTCGGTCCTGGTCGTGTACATCCGGCATGGCGACACACCCATTGTCAAGACTGCTGGTGGGTTCATATTCTACTGCAACATGGCAGGCTTCCTGTGCGCTTTCTCCAGCACCCTCTTGGTCATAGGAGAACCCACTAGCCTGAAATGCAAACTCCAGAAACCAGTGTTTGGGATCAGCTTTGCTCTCTGCCTCTCCAGCGTGCTTGCCAAGACCATCCAGAACCTCTGCTCCTTTGAAAGTCCTGTAGGGAGGCCAAGCAAGCTCCAGATGAGACTCTATCTCATTATCATGGGAGTGGGGCCCTTTATCCAGTGTCTCATCTGCATGCTTTGGGTCTGTCTAGACCCCCCGGATGCCAGGAGAGTTTACCCAGCGGGGGAGCCCCATATACTCCTGGAATGCCACAGAGATGCAGGTCTGGGCTCCTCTTTTGTTAACGGGTACCTGTGTTTCCTCGCTTTCTGTGCCCTGGTGTGTGCTATGAAAAGCCAGTCCCTGCCAGCCAACTTCAACGATGCCCAAGGCATTGCCTACGCCATGATGATTTTCTTCGTCACCTGGCTCGCCGTCACCCCTGTCCTGCACTCCAGCAGAAGGAAGATGGTGAATGTTGTCCTAGGCGTCGTTATCCTGTTATCCGCCTACAGCTCCCTGGCCGCCTTGTTCCTCTACAAATGCTATGTCATCCTCTTCCGGCCAGAGCGCAACACAGTCGAGTGGATCAAGAGGTCCACGTACGAGTACTGCCAGAAGATGGCCGAAAAGGCCAATCTCGCTATCCAGATGGAGAGCAGCATTGCCTCAGTAGATACGTCTGTACACTGAACCAGCCCCTCCTGCTCGCCTTGCAAAGGGACAACGCGGAAAGCGTAATCCACAGGAGGCCGCGAGCTATCTATGGCGTGGTGATGAAAAAGCATTGGATAGATGGTTTATCAGGTGACTTCCCCATTCCTCCTCCCCTAATTGGCTTAGATCACAGATGGGGGTAGTGGAATTCTGCTCCATTCTGCTCCAAGTATAGTCTAGTGATTTAGAGCAGAGCATTAAGAGCTGGGAACTCCTGGGTTCTATTCCCATCTCTGCCACTGACTCACTCTGTGACCAGGATCAAGTCACTTACCCGCCCCATGCCTCAGTTTCCTCCTCTGTAAAATAGGCTTAGTAATACTCAACATGCCCAGGGGTGTAGTGAGGCTTAACTAAAAGTGCAAAGGGGTGTTTAAGTGTTCTGAGATCCTTGGTACAAATTATGACCCAAATTCTTCCCTGGGGTTAAAAAGTGAATTTGCCCCCATATCCCTAGCAGTTACCTATGTCACAAACTCATCAGCAGTCATTTGCGTTCGAGTGCCTTTCCAAGTACTTTCACTCCTCTGACACCGCAGGCTCTCTCTTTTAGGATGAGGTCCACTGTGTCAATCCCCTTGAATCTGGCAGTTATCAAGTAAGTGTTTGACTCTGCATTCAAGGGGACTGCCATCTCCCCCTCTTCTTCTGCACTGCGTGGGAGGGTGGGGAAGGGGAAGGGTAAGAAATCCCTAGTAGTACTCCCTCCTACTCCTGCTGCTTCCCACAGTGGTGAACAGGAAAGGGAACTTTTCCAGGAAAGCGCTCTCCTGTTACAACACTTTGTACTTATAGAGGGTGTTTCATCTGTACTTTGCAAAAGCACTTTGCAAAAGGTAGGAAATCCTGATGGTTGGACTGGGAGTCAGAAGATCTGGGTTCAGTTCCTGTCTCGGCCACAGACTCCCTGTGTGACCTTGAGCGTGTCACTAAATCGCTCTGTGCCCCAGTTTTCCCAGCTGTAAAATGGGGATCAAAAGACTCCCTTTCGCTCATCCGTTATCTGTCTTGTCTATTTAGATTGCAAGCTCTTCAGGGCAGGGGCTGTCTCTTACAGGGTGCGTGCGCGCAGTGTCTGGCACCATGGGGCCCCGATCCCAGGCAGGCCCTCTTGGCACTACCATAATCCCAACATTAGATTATGATGATCCCTATTTTACAGTGATGCGGGTGACCCCGCAGTGGATCTGGGGCAGAGCCAGGGCTAGATTCCAAATCTCCCGACTCCCATTCGGGTACCCTGGGCACTGGGCCACACTTTCTTTCCTTAGAGTTTTGGGGAAACTCCGCTTAGATTGTACTGAGGTTTGGGGTGGGAATGGAGGTGACTCTGTAGGCCTCCAGTGACTGCCAACAGCAATGTCTGAGAGCTAGCCCCATCACCTTTATTTCACCGGTAGCCTTTTCGTCAGTGTCCTGTTGGCGAAACACTTGCTCAGCACAAAGACGTTGGTAAATATTGAACTGCAAAACCAGCGTCCACAGCACTGCCCTGCTGCTGGCCAATGTACTGGCCGAGGGCAGGAGAGTGGAGCTGCTCTTTTAATCCTCTTGTTCTTGCAGCAGTCCTATATTAATTGTTTTGTAGCCCCACCACGTGTCGTCTGAGGGAATTGCATGTCTATGCACTTACGTTCCAGCTTTGGGCAAATGCTGGGACCCCATCGAATGTGCCTCATTTGATTCAGCAGTGACAACACTGCATTAAATGGGCCAACTATACATCTGGCACCCTGCCACTGGTTTCATTCAGAGTTATCGTAGGGGTGAATTTGGCCCAGCATCTGGTAAAGAGAGAGGCTTTGGGACCCTTATATACTAAATTGACCATAAGCCTACCTTCAGCCAGTGAGGCTGAGTGAGTCTAACTGAAAACCAAGGGAGGTTTCAAGGGGAAGAACCTTGACAGGCAGATGTGGTCTCAAGCTCTCTAGATTGTAAATGTTTCATATTTAAGAGTCTCGTGGAGGATGTGTTAATATGGTAAATGCTGTTGCTTCATGGAATAGATCAATAAAGGCAGAGTATACTGGAACAAGTCTGAATCAGTGAGTTTATTCCTGATCCTTCACTTTCTCATGGTAACACTCTGCATTTCTCTCTTTCTTTGTCTGGCCTTCTCTCTGCATTACTGTCCTGTTGCCCTGTTCTTTAAGCTTCACTTCCACTACTGTCGCTTGCCTCTCCACTCATGCTTCGATACACAGAGAGCAGAATATGTACCCTCCTTCAGAACTGACCTGAGTCTTAGATTAATAAAAACAAAGAAGAACAAAAGTAAGTCTCCAGGAGAGAAGTACAGTGTGTGTGTCCCACCTCTGTAACAAGCTGCTGCAGCTGAGAGAACAAATTGGCTGCTGTCTCTGCAGACTGGCAGACGTCTTAAAGAGGCAACCGTCCCATTCTCAAGCTGAATAACCCATATTCTTCTCATCCCCAACTTCCTCTGACATCCCCTACTAGCTCTAATAGTCATATTCCAGCAGCCTCCAACATTCCTTCCTACAGAGAGGAATCATAAACATAAACCCCCTAGCTGTGAAGTAACTGAATGGTTAAAGCCAGAGAACAGACTGTTTAGAGAGGAGATATTCTTCTCCTCTACTTTACAAGCAAATGCAAGATTCTAAGGAAGGGGCAAGGCAGATACAGATTTTACATTTGCCTTTTTACTAAACCCATTTCCTGTAAAATAAATTAAATTTAAAAAAAACCCCACCCCACCCTGTTAAGATCCTTACAATAGCAGTCTGCTGCTGCATTGTTGGTCTGTCCCAGGCACCTAGTGCCAGGGGGTCGTGTTGGTTGCATGCCTGTTTAACTGTGCAAGTTGCACTGCCCCTGTTTGCTTCCCTGCCCAGCCCAAAGATCCGATTGTCCTTGAGTTGGTCGTTCCAGCTCTCAGCCTCCCGTCCCCAAGCCTGCACTCACAGAAGAGGGAAGTCTCCGCCGTGTTCTCAGTTACCCCAGGTACATGCTGAATGAAGCAGTTTTTCTGTTGTGTAACACCAGTGGCCAGTGCTGGTAACCATGGATGCTGTTATCTACACATACAGCCAGCAAGAGGCGAAGGGCTTTGGAAGGAAGCTCGGCAGACGTCTGCTGGAGCTCAGAAAAAATGTCTCGCTTTTTAGCGGGCTACTGTTTGCTCTCTGCCTGGCTGCTTTACCCTCTTTGCTGCTCTGCCCAAACGGAGAGCAGCACCAACCCCACCAGGGAACTGTGGCCCCAGCCAGTTCCTTGACACAGAGGCATTTCAGTGCAGCCCGTGTGGGGAGCACCTGGTGAAAAGCCCCGCAGGTGAGTGGGAGCTGGCTATGCCGAATGCTTGAAAACTGATTGATTTAAGGGTGGCCCTGAGCCAAACAGCCCAGAACTTGGGAGCTGAATTTTGCAGCTGGCCCACAGCTTTGTAATGGGCCAAACCAAAACTCCAGCTCTGACCTGTCGGAGTGGGGAGGGTGTTTTGAAACCTAGATCCAAATGTAGTGACTTGCTTTAAAAAGCACCTGCCCAGCGGAAAGCCTGTCTGCGTCCCTGGCTATGCGTTTCTGCCACATGTTAGTGCAAGAGCTTCAATCGCAGAGGAAATGAAGCCAGCCCAACCCAGTGCTCCTTAGTCTCTTCTGGCTAATGCTGGTCAGTCTGCATTGACTCTGCCAGCTGGAGGCTGCATGCTGGAGTGGCGTGAAGTCATTAGCAGAGTTCCCCACAGCTCCAGTGACTCACCAGACTTGCTCTGGGCCCGTGTGGCCTACCACAGTGAAGACCTGAGCAGGGTCAGGCTCCAATTTTGGATGCGTTAGAGAACTCTAGGTGCTCCCAGAGCTGATCGCGCGGTAACTTGGCAACCCCAGCTCCTGCCTTCCGCAGCTGCTGACGCTCCTCTGTCTTCCAGGCCTGTGATGCGTCCGTGCTGACGGCCGGACCGTGAGGGGCCAGGCGTCGGCGTGCGGTGCTTGTGTAGGTGCAAATCGGGATTCTAACCGGCCCTTCTCCCTGTCTCGGCATGCCTGCGCGGCAGTCAGAGAGGTGCAGTACATGTAGACGCCATACCGGAGCTAACTTGGCTCTAGCTAGCTCCAGTAACAATCGCAATGACGCAATGACGCCCCGGCAGCCCGGGTCGGTACTCCACTGGCTACCCTCTGCTGCTGCATCTCCGCTGCTGTTATTCGATCTAGCTAGACCAGAGGTGGGGTGGCCCGCGGCACCCTCCTGCCCGGCCCTTGAGCTCCCGGCGGGGGAGGCTCGCCCCTGGCCCCTCCCCTGCTGTCCCCCAGCCCTGCAGCCTCAGTTTGCTGGGCCACCAGCGCTCTGGGTGGCGGGGGTGCAAGGTCCAGCCGGGCGGCGCAGCTGCCAGTCCTGGTGCTCTGAGCGGCCTGGTAAGGGGGCGAGGAGCGGGGGGACGGGTTGGATAAGGCGCAGGGGGTTCCAGGGGGCAGTCGGGGCAGGGGGCAGTTGAATGGGGTGGAGGTTTCAGGGGGGTAAACGGGGGGGGTTGGATAGGTGTGGGAGTCCCGGGGGGCCTGTCAGGGGGTGGGGGTGCAGTCAGGGGACAGGGAGCAGGCGGGGTTGGGTAGGGCGTGGGGTATCGGGGAGCCGGTCAGGGGTACGGATAGGGGTCAGAGGTATAGGGGGGGGTTGGATAGGTATGGGAGACCCGGGGGGCCTGTCAGGGGGTTGGGGTGTGGATAGGGGTCGGGGCAGTCAGGGGACAGGGAGCAGGGGGGATTGGATAGGGGGTGGGGTCCCAGGGAGGCAGTTAGGGGTGGGGGAGTCCTGGGAGGGGGCAATCGGGACAAGGAGCAGGGGGGGTTGGATAGGTCAGGGGTTCTGAGGGGGGCAGTTGGGGCGGGGGCCAGGCTGTTTGCGGAGGCACAGACTTTCCTACGCGGTCCCCCATACAGTTTTGGAACCCCGATATGGCTCTCAGGCCAAAAAGTTTGCCCACCCCTGAGCTAGACCAAAGCTAGCTTGTGCATGTTACCGACATGTCACAGCTCTGACTGCCAGGTAGACAGACCCTCAGTGTTACCAAGAACCTTCTGCAGCCAGAACATCCTCTTCCATGCAGAGTTCCCGGCAGCCCACCTCACTCTGGGAGGCCACCTTCCTTGATGGCAGTTTTCTGGCTTGTAATGTAAGTAATGTTGCTGCTACCCTCTTCGGCTGTTTCCTCTCCCTTTCATAGAATCATAGAATATCAGGGTTGGAAGGGACTTCAGGAGATCATCCAGTCCAACCCCCTGCTCAAATCCCCAACTAAATCATCCCAGCCAGGGCTTTGTCAAGCCTGACCTTAAAAACTTCTAAGGAAGGAGATTCCACCACCTTCCCTAGGTAACGCATTCCAGTGATTCATCACCCTCCTAGTGAAAAAGTTTTTCCTAATATCCAACCTAAACCTACCCCGCTGCAACTTGAGACCATTACTCCTCGTTCTGTCATCTGCTACCACTGAGAACAGTCTAGATCCATCCTCTTTGGAACCCCCCTTTCAGGTAGTTGAAAGCAGCTATCAAATCCCCTCATTCTTCTCTTCTGCAGACTAAACAATCCCAGTTCCCTCAGCCTCTCCTCATAAGTCATGTGTTCCAGTCCCCGAATCATTTTTGTTGCCCTCCGCTGGACGTTTTCCAATTTTTCCACATCCTTCTTGTAGTGTGGGGCCCAAAACTGGACACAGTACTCCAGATGAGGCCTCACCAATGTCGAATAGAGGGGAACGATCACGTCCCTCTATCTGCTGGCAATGCCCCACTTATACATCCCAAAATGCCATTGGCCTTCTTGGCAACAAGGGCACACTGTTGACTCATATCCAGCTTCTCGTCCCCTGTAATCCCTAGGTCCTTTTCTACAGAACTGCTGCCTAGCCATTCGGTCCCCAGCCTGTAGCGGTGCATGGGATTCTTCCGTCCTAAGTGCAGGACTCTGCACTTGTCCTTGTTGAACCTCATCAGATTTCTTTTGGCCCAAATTTTTAAAGATGGGCACTACATTAGCCTTTTTCCAGTCGTCCAGGACCTCCCCCGATGGCCATGAGTTTTCAAAGATAATGGCCAATGGCTCTGCAATCACATCCTTTAGAGAGGAAGGATGGCCTACTGGTTAGGGAGCTAGCGTGGGACTCAGGAGACCTGGGCTTCAGTTCCCTGCTTTGCCACAGACTTTCTGTGTGACTTTGGGCAAATCACTTAGTTGCTCTGTGCCTCATTTTGCCCCCTGTAAAATGGGAATATCAACCCTGCCCCACAGTGTGTTAGGAGGGTAAATGTTGTGAGGCACTCAGATACTCCAGTGCAGGGCTGTATAAACTCCTGAGATAGTGTTTGTAGCTAGGGTTCTTTGTCCAAGCGCGCTCTTTTGCATGTAGGAAGTCTGTGCACAGAGGGGACAGGCTGGGATTGAAGGGATCCAAGATGGAGGTGCTCAGACGGGCAGGTGCATTCTGCTTTCTCCCACGGAGATTTTTTTTGGTCTGTCTTTCTTTGAGCATATTGGAAAACATAATCCCAACTATACGTTTAAAATGATGGGGTCTAAATGAGCTGTTACCACTCACGAAAGAGATCTTGGAGTCATTGTGGATAGTTCTCTGAAAACGTCCACTCAGTGTGCCCGCACTAGGGATTGTACTGCGATAACTCACACGTCGTTCTCTTGCTACGACCCTGCCTTATTTTCACTCTCCCTAGAACTCTTGCAACCTGACTGTCTGCGAGCTCCTAACCAACATGGCTGTTCTGAACACCTTCTCCTTGGAAACCCGGGCCTACGACCTGTATGCAAAGGCTGAGTGAGTCCTACTGTGCCTGCAGAACTGGGTGACAAGCTGTTACTGATTATCACTGTTCATATCTATCTATCGATCTTTCTTTCTAATGGACAAATAGGATTTGATTTTCTTTTCAGAAGCCAGAACCTTCCGAAGCTATTTTATAGCAAGACAGGGCTGCCTCCACTTTCCTTTGGAAAGAACTTCAAGGTAAATCACGGCTGATGCACAGACAGACACATACAGAGCTATGTGTATGAATTAAAAGATGAGAAATAATACATATGTTCTTTATTAATTAACCCCAGTCCCATTCCTGCCCTCTCTCAGAACCTGCCTGTCTTCACTTTCAACCTCAACTGCTGTGGTTGGGGTATTGTACCCTTTCCTGGTCTTGTTTGGTGTCCACACAGGGTCCTGGACAGCTCAAGTTGCCTCTCTTTGTAGGAGACTCTGCTCCTCTAAACTTATCTTACTGAACAAGCTGAACTGGGAGCTCAGAACAGGCTCCTTGTTAAACCTTCCCTTAGCTAAAACAAAGGGTGCTCTAAATGAAATCTGCTTGCACTTGGGCATGGAAAAACCTTAGACTTGCCAAGCTCTTCTGCAAAGTTTTGTACTTGATGATTGTACTTTGTCTTCCCTACCCTGACCAGATCAATTTTAAGCTTGTAAAGTACGATGCCCAAGGAAACTTCTTAGGCTGGGAGGACGTGACAGGTGGCACTTTGCAGGTGAGTTAATTTTGTTTTCTCCTTGCTGTGACGTGAAACCAGTGCTGGGATTCAGTTGCTAGAACTAGGGGCTGAAATTTAGTCTGATCCACCAACATTATCGGAACTGTGGCCCCCTTTTGAACCACTGGGTCTCCGCAACCATGTAATAATTCCTACATGATATCTTGCTCGCCACCTTAATTCAAATTGGCTGGGGCATGAGCATGGATACAGTGAGAGCAAGGTGGCTGAAGAATCATAAACAAAAGGGGATAATAAAAATCAGCATATCAAGTTGAGGGGAGGTGTTCCAGGGTTATCCCAAGGGCTAGTGTTAGAGGTCTTCTTATTCAACAGCTTCATTAAAGACCTGGAAGGGAGGGTTACCAGCACAATGATGAAAACTGCAGGTCAAATTAAATTAGGAGGAGCTACAATCAGGACAGAGATGTAAAAAGGGGCCTGGAGAGGTTAGGAGCATGGTACAGATATTTAATGGGAGGGACAAACCCAGAAAGCAGGGGTGACAGTGGGCAGTAAATTAGACAGGAATTCCCAATGGGATAGGGGCGAGGGCCAGCAGAGCTTTAGGGGGCTGCATGGGCAGGGGCTGCACACCACAGACCGGACGGGGAACGGGCTGTCTTCATACAGCCCTGTGGAGATAATTACCAGTTACTGATGATAAATTGGAGAACCAACAAAAATAATCCAGGAGCTGGAAAGTCTAACTGCTGAGTGCAGATCACAAGTACAAAGTACATCCAGCCTGGCGAAGGGACATGTAAGTGCAAACGTGTGAAGGGTGTCACACTAAAGGGGGGTTAGTTAGTTTGGGACAGTGGAATTTAACTAGAAGAGAATTGAAGTTGCACTAGAGAGGAAGGATAGTCGGGTGGGTGGGGCATTAACCTAGGACTTGGGAGACCTGGGTTCAGGTCTCTCTGTCATAGACTGCCGGTGCGATCTTCTCTCTGTCTCAGTTCCCCACCTGTGAAATGGGGAATTGCAGCCCTGCCCTGCCTCCCAAGGAGGAGTGGTGGGGATAAATTCAGTGAAAGGATTGTGAGATGCCTGGGTACGACAGGAATCGGAGCTCTGTAAGATAGCTATCTAAGGGGTAATGGGCTGAAAGTGGGAGCTGACTATCTGAGAGCAGTCCTTGTGGCAGTCTCACAAGGGAAGTGGTGGAAGTGCTGTTGCCTGGGACCTTTAAACCTACGATGGGATAAACCAGTAGACAATTGACAGCACGGAACAATCCTGCATTGGCCGGAAGATGTGGGGAAGGCTCCAGCTCTAACTGATACAGCTGTTTGATCACTCTACATACCACCTCTTAACGTTCCTGGGACCACGTTGGGTGTCCGCACCAAGTGGATAATAGAGGCCAGAGCGAGGGGAGAAAGTGAACCCCCAACTGAAACATGTGTCACATACCCACCTTCCCCTCTTTCTGCTTCTGAGAGGCTCCATCCCCACCACTGATCACCCTATGGCATGCAGGATCTGGCTCAGGGTGTAGTCTGAGGCTGTCTCCTCATCCTACTGACAGCACTGGTCTCATAGCAACGGCCCCAGGAGCGCAGAGGTGTCCCAGGAAGCAGGGTTGGGAATCTCTGGTGCACGTCACCACCGCCTGGTCTCAGTGCCTTTTCTTGTCCCTCTGCTAGCTCTGTGCAGACCGTCAGAGTGCACTCGATGCTGCCTACTCCTTTGGGACATCCTACGAACAGTCTGTAAGTTACATTTGCGTCTTCCTGCCATCCCCGCCCTGCCTCCCGTGTTCTGAACTAGCACTAAATGAGGGGCTAGGCTGGTTGTCTGCAGCAGTAATTGCATGGAGGCGTTGCAATGAAACTCCATGATAAGTCACTGGGTTCCCAGATCCAGAGCTCGTGATTTATTTTCCTCCCTTGCGCCCAAGACTCTTCTGCCCCCTGGGGTTAATGAATTTTGAAATAATGCTCAATCTTTTCATGGTCTTTACAGTCAGATACTGCTGTTTAATACGTCTGTGTCTGTATGCCAGCACTGGGGATCTGGGAATCTAGTCTCTGCCCTGACACAGATGTCCTCTGGGTCCTTGGGCGAGTGGCTTATCTGTCTAGCTTTGACATTCCCTGTGTCCCAGGAATCCCCAGGCTGGGAATGAGTCTCGTCAAGCCGAACTGCATAGGAGAGGAGAATTTTGCTCTGAGGGCCAGCCTTTCAATCGAGACCAGAGCGTAATCTAAGGGGCTGAATAGCCCCCAAATCCCAGGCAGTAAATGTTAGTGGAAATCGCAGGGTCTTTTTCTGCTTAAAAACGGAACAAGTCTCTGCGGTGCAGATAAAGCTGCATCTGGGCAAAGGAAGGCTAATTACACAGCATCTTTGTTATAGCATTGTCATGGTTTTATTTTACAGTGCACTGAACAGGTGTCCAACCTGCCGAGACGAGTCCCTGAGCCCGTCTTTTACGAGATGTTCCTGCAATTCTTCAGTGACAAGGGGAACTGGCTGTGGCCGGTCCCTGTAGCGAATCCCCAGCTGCAGCTGAATAGCCCTGGTGAGATTCTCTATTGGCGAGAGCGTTGGTTTCCCTGTCTTGATTTTCTTTTGCTTCTCAACTTTGAACATTTCTCTGTGACTCCTAATATTTCTGTTTAGCTGGGAAGGATCCACTGCTACTCCCAACCACAGCGAGGAGCGGTGCTGGAGCTCATTAGCCGAGTACCTGTTCTGCCAAGAGCTCAGGCAGGACTAATGAATCCTTGTAAGGCAATGGGCCTAGCTCAGACTACCTGGTTTGCTTTGACATTTGCGCTCCATGGGCCCGCTCTTAATGAGCAGGGATCCAGCAAATCTGCAGGAAAAAGACTGAACAGCTGTAGTTTTGCATTATAAAGCACCAGAGAGTGTGCAGCCAATCATGGCGGTCTGTTAGCTGGCCATCTAAAGGCCTCTGTAGTTCAGACAGGTGGTGTGGTATAGTGGTTCATGCACGGGACTCTGAGTCAGCAGATCTAATCGTGGCACTGCCCTGATTCCCTGTGGCTTTGGGCAAGTCACTTAGGCCAAAATGCTCAAAAGCAGCCTCTAATTCTGGGTATCTCCAGTTTTGGGCACCCAACTCGAGACGCCTAGAACCCTGTCTTTTCACTCAAGATGAGAGGAGCTGTTGCTGCTTAACACCTAATTGTCTCAAGATGGGCACCTGAAAGTCACTGATGACCATGTTGGTCTTTTTCCCATTTCTTAGATGAGCAAACAGAGATGGGGGGGCCAAGGTCATTTCCCCACAAGGCTGAATTTGTCAGTGTTTGCAAAGCATCATTTTAAAAAAAACCCTTTGCATGTAAAAGACGATGGTGGAAACCCCCTGCTGGGTGCTCAGCAATTGAATGCTCAGTTCAGGTGATCATCTGCCCATAGGCCTTTGGTGCTACTTGCTGCATGGCTCCTGTGATGAAAAGACATTGTCCTGTGTCCTTATTGTAACCTGCAGGGTACAAAGTGCGTTGGTAGAGCCAGGGAACAGAATGTAACAGCCAGTGTTCAGTGTGTGATCTGTGTTTTACTGGCTAACCACAGGACCCAGCCTTCCCAAACTCAGGGATATTTAGTCACCCATAACGCCAATATTAGCCCCAAGGCTTTGGTGCCCACACCTCCCATTCCTGATTCTGGCTGGGCAACTAACCTTGCACCATGGTAGCTGCATAGAGGTAACTGTGATTATTAGTGAACAGATCACGGAAGGGACACAGTGGTAATGCTGGTATGGAGCTGGGGAGAGTGGGGGCAGTTAATCACAGATTTGGCATGAGGATAGTACAAAGGTCTCCTGGATGCGGAGAGGAGAGAGATTCTCTATTGCCGTGATTCAGCAAAGCCCTCAAGCACAGGATTAAGTTCACTGAGCTAAAAGAAAAGGAGGACTTGTGGCACCTTAGAGACTAACCAATTTATTTGAGCATAAGCTTTCGTGAGCATAAGCTTTCGTGTAGCTCACGAAAGCTTATGCTCAAATAAATTGGTTAGTCTCTAAGGTGCCACAAGTACTCCTTTTCTTCTTGCGAATACAGACTAACACGGCTGTTACTCTGAAACCGTTCACTGAGCTGTTTTCTATACTACAGAGTTAGGTTGACCTAACTCTGTAAGCCAGTGGTCCCTACACTTTTCATGGTTGCGCCCACCCTTACCCTTGTCCATACCGCCCCCCTCCCCCGAGCCGGGGCTAAGAGCTGGGGGTGGGGGGCAGACAGGGCTAAGTGGGCTGAGGCAGGGGCCTGGAATGGAGCCGGGGCTGGGGCTGGTGCCTGGAGCAGAGCCGGGGACAAGGCTGGGTGGTGCTCCCTCCCCGCCCCATGTGGAGGCTGGCCCAGGCCCCACCATATCCCCCCCAAATGTTCCTAGGGGGGCGCGCCCCACCGTTTAGGGATCTCTGCTGTAAGCATCTACACTAAAATATTGATCCCTATCTAACTTGTCTGCTACACCGACTTAAGCGCTATGCCTCTTGCGGAGGTGGAGTTAAGTCAACATAGTTAGGTCGATGCAAATAGTCGTTAGCCATGTGATGAAATGTTCCCTGTTTTCACTGACCATGCTGATGGCAAGTTAATTCTGGGCTGCTTCCACCACATGGCCAAGTCTTGTGCAGCTGATCCATCGTACCCGTTCCCCTGTTCAAGCTCTTGCTCTGGCATCCCCATAGGCTTGTGTCTGGCCCAAGCGCACAGGCTATTGGCCCTCGCTTTTGTGCCTTGGCCCGGTGACCTTACATTTCATTCTCATGCACAGATGACGTCACGTTGGTTGTTGTGTGGATTATTCCCTGTCAGATCCTATTTCTTTGTGTAATGAGTGATTGAGAGGCAGCAGTATGTTCCAGCCCATTAGCCTTTAGTGTTTTTAAAACGGAGTCATGAATCTTAAGACCTTTATCTGCTTGAAATAGACATAGGAAAGACTTTTTAGACCCACTTTGTGCCCCTGGAATTTGAAACTGGCCTCCATTGTCTGGAAGATCGTCTCCTGCTGGCTAGGACTTTGGCTGTAAAACTGATGCTGCTCAGTGAAAAAGGCCATCCCTGTGTAATTAGTGAAACTTTTCTCTATTCAAATTGAAAACCTTTAAAATGCAATTTATTCTCACAAAAATGTGTGTCCAATTGGGTGCCTAATTTGCATGCACAATTACCATATGCCAATAGCTAGCTGGCCATTTGAACCAATACACAGGTTGCTTATGCAATCCTTGTACTGCCTGCTCCGATCACACCTGATTCTCAAACATTAGGTCCATGCTGGTGTGTTTAGGATTTATCTTCTCAATTTGATCATTTTTTCCAATCGCTATTTTGCAAACAGGAATCTTTTGTGAAGTGATTTTCCTGGAGACGCTCAGAGGACTGAGCATGGGTGGAGGATAGCAAAGGCAGGGGAAGGCGGTGCCTCCCCAAACAGCCTGGCGTAGCCCTGCCCACGCTCCGCCACAAAGCCCACTCCTGTCTAATTCCAGTTCCCTTCCCGCTATTCTGTGGCCGAGAGGCTGGGGCAGGCAGGCTGGGGCCAATGTGCGCAAGGCCCAGGGCTGGGTGTGCGGGGGCTTGGGCTGCTCTAGCTGCGCTACCCGCCTGCCCGGCACTCTGGGGCCGGCGGCGTGCAGGGGGGCCAGTGGTGGTGTGGGGGACTGCGCTCTGGGCGAGGGTGGGGCAGGAGGGAAGGGGTGGGCCTCGGGCAGAGGGGGAGGTGTCGAGGGCTAGCCTCCCCCAGTGGCACGTTCACCCGCCGCCCATGGAACCGAGAGTCAAAAGACCTAGTTTGTAATCCTGGTTCTGATACTGACTTGGTTGGTCCAATGAAAGGTATTACCTCACCCATCTTGTCTCTCTACTATCATGGAACCGACACCGTTACACCTACACTGCAGACTGACTTGTGGGGACTTGCCCAAGTCCCTCGGGTCTGGATTTTCAGACCCATCGTTGTGCACAAATGGGGGCATACTTATCAGTTCCAGTCTTTAGAGTCACTTGCATGCACAATTAGCATATTTGCTCTTGCAGATTTTGGTAAATGTGCACACAATTTAGGCACACAAATGTGTGTGCATTTTTTATTCTGTTTTTGTGCCTGGAGGAGTCTGAAACTCTCTTGCCCTTAATACCTCTGAAGCACAGACTGCCCATCTGTAAATGGGGGATGATGCTATGTATACCTGCCTTCTAGTGAGGCTATCTGGCATAGTTATAACAACATTTGTAAGGAGCTAAGTGAGTGCAAAGTAACATTAAGGCCAGCTAGTGGTAGGGGTGGGGGATCCTACTCTTTGCTCAAGCAAATGCAATGCATTTTGGGTTCCACTTGTCAAAATGGTGGGGTTTGTTTGGTTTGTTTTTGCAAATGCAGAAATTCTCACACCAAATGTGACCTTTTGTGCTGAAGTTTGTGAACATGAAAACAGACACATTTCATTTTAAAAAACAATGTTATATATTGTCCACCTCTTATATCTGGTAAGGAACCTAAGTTGGTTACCAGCTTCCTCACTAGATTTATGTTGGTTTGGATTTGTCCTTATGAAGTTCTGCAAAAAGAACCAAAGCAAATTCAGTCCTGCAAACTCTTAAGCATGTTTAGAATTTTACTCCAGAGAGTCTACATTGACTCCTATGGGATTGCTCTAGGGGCTATGCAGGCATGCAAAGTGCCTGAAGAATGAGCCTGAAAGCCACAGATCAGGAAAACTAATTCCATGTTGGAGGGAGAGAGAATTTATTGCTATCAAAAAGCAGGACATTGTGCCATTCTCATTTCAGTCTGAGGGCTAGACTGGAATTCTGCTGCTACTGGGACTCAGGAGACATGCATTCTATTCCTGGCTCTGGTGCTGGCCTCCTAGGTGACCTTGGGGAAGTCTCTTCTCTTCTCTGTGCCTCAATTTCCCCATCTGTAAAATGGGGGTAATGACACTGACCTCCTTTGTAAAGCACTTTGACATCGACTGATGAAAAGCCCTAGCTGAGAGCTAGGTAGTCTTATTACCAGTGAACAGGCTGATGGGCGGGATGTGATAGGGCTGGTTATAAGGGTGTGTAAGTTGTCTTGGAGCAGATGTGTGTTCTCATCCCTGGTTCTTCATATGTGGGGTGTGCAGCTAGCTGGCATTTATGGTGTCTCTGCAAATAGGTAGCTCAGTGCTCATTACATTTGCAGCCCTTCTCTGAGATTGCATCTTGGTTGAATGCCCTGGCTACCAGAAATGGTGCGTCTGTGTATGCAGCTAACCCTCCTCTCTGCATGTTTCTTTCAGCTTCCCTGAGGTCTCAGAGGCTAAGAAGATTCTTTCTAGTTGATGGGCTCTCGGGCAGGCAAGGGAACCTATCCATTCAACCAGCATCTGTCACGTTGGCAGCAGAGCTGCTCCTAAGGTAAAGGGCATGGGCAGGCCACTGGGGCAGTCACCGGCTCAGCCTCTTTGACGGCCATCGATTTTTGTTCCCCCACATTTGTCACAAAGAAGGGATGTTACAGGAGTTTCTCCAGGAAAATTAGGTGCAGCGTGGCTGGCTCTGTAGGAGGGCAAGCCCCGGAGCACACAGAATTGAAAGACTGATTGTGGTAGGTGGTTCAATAACCTTTCTTCTCTGGCATCAGGAAGAGATTGAACCCTGCAGTGTGTCAGGATCCCGCGGGTTAAAATATAAGGACTGGCCCTTTAATTAGAATGCTGGGACTTGTAGCTCCACCCCCTAGGGGGGAGTCCACAGCTAGTGGGCAGAGAGAGAGACACAGCTAGGTGGAGCCAGAGAGCCCCGAGGTAAGGGGCGAGGACCTGCCCTACCATATATGACCCACTTACTAGGTAATGACCAATAAAAGCATCTTTGTAGAATGTGTGTCCAGGCCTTGGTCTGCTCCCATGCAATGTGATTAGTGCCCCCAGCCAAGCAGTGAGTGAGATCCACCAGCCAGTAGGCTCCCAGGACACAGTCCCAGCATGCTCTGTGGCAGTCTCAGCAAGCTTTGCTTCTACCTAACCTGGGGATTTTGCACAGCCCCGTGCCTGGTGCCCACAAGCTACCAGACCAGCTACCTGCATTTTGAACCCACACAGGGCTAGCAACCCTGGCGTTAATGTAGTGCCCAGGAGTGCTGGCAGAACACAGCTGAGCTATTTGTATGGGTAACCTCATCGCCTATACAGACAGCTCTGCAGCAATGCCCGCCGACCGCCCCATCGGCGAGACCAAAGCCTGGGTTCCCAGACAGCCTGGTTTGCCCAGAGGAGATGGTGTTTATAACCAGCCATCCCCTCTCTAGCGTATTCCTTGCCACTTACAGCTAGCACCTCCTTTATCACCTTCCCCAAGGAGATCATGATCTATACGTCTCCCCTCGTGCTGAGACTTGCCATCTTCTGTGCAAAAAGAATTCTAATCTCCCCATCCTGCTCTGCACAATTAACTCAACTCCCTCCACTCATTTCCTACAGAGGTTTCATTAAAATTCATTGTTCGTCTCTCCAATTATTTGCTCTGTCCCCCAGATAACCCCTCTCTGTTTTTTCCCTCTTACGCTGGCTTGTGCAGTGTTGACTTGCCAACCAGTAGCCCAGGAGACCAGTCTGCTTTCCTGTTGACAGTGAAGTATGCGAAGCAAGATAGCACTGCAACAGCGCAGGCAAGTTTGTGGCACCCCAGGATTCCCTTGGCAGGAGCTGGAGAGGGGGAGAGGGGGAGAGAGGGAGAGAAATAATGTGAAATGAAGCAGCTGAAACAACAAGACCTGGTTGACTTTCCTTTGAGTTCCCCAGCACTTGGCAGCTGTTGTTTCAGCAGGTGATAATTAGAGCCGCGAATGAGCTCGGATGTTGTCCGGGTTGAGACTGAGTTCAATTGTGCCTCCTCTCCCCGAGCCCACACTTTGCCAGCCAGGTAGGAAATGTAACAAACTCGCCCTCTGTGCCATGTGGGAGGCTGGCGGCTGGGGCTGTGTGCAGTTGTGCATTAAGAGGCTAAGACCGATGGTGGCTCTGGGGCCGGCATGGGAGACCTGCGCTGAAGCTGTTCAGACCGGGGGAATCTCCTGCGTGTTCCTGGACCTGGTCGGACGGGTTTGGGGCAGTGCATGAGTGGGTCACCGGCCACTCATGGGCTTCCCACGTGCCAGTCTCCGAGGCAGCACTGGCATCCTTTTTGGAAGAGGTTGCTCATTTCTTTGAGCCAGAGAAAGATGCCTGCCCTGTGAGCTCAGCTGCTCCCATAGGGCCGAGTTCTCCGCCCTGCCTTAATCGGGCCTGTCTCTTTGTGCCCACACTCATTAGCAGTGCAGTTTAGGTCACTCGGACATCTAAGTGCCTCGTTCATGGGACAGCTTAGCTATTATCACTTGCTGTATGCTCCTGTCAGTGCTGTGTGACAAATCCCACAGATGGGGCACCCATCACCATAGCATTGAATCATCAGCTGGTGACATTAGTGGGCCTGGAACCCCTGTAGCCAACCTGGGATGGGGAGGAGGGAACTTATGGTCTGACCCTGCCAGAGGAACAAACACCTGGCAACCAGCCAACTGATTCCATCTTCTGGGGCATGCACATTTCACTGTGCCCATCAGCTTTCTCAAAGGCTGCATGCATCTGCCCTGGCAACTGTCAGCACCATGGTCTAGTGGGTAGAGCACTGGACTGGGAGTCAGGAGACCTGCCTTCTATTTCTGGCTCTACCAGTGATCTTGGGTGACTCACTTCTCTCTCTATCTCTATTCCCCCTCCAACCCTTGGTCCGTCTTGTCCAGCTACCCTGTAAGCTCCCTGGGGCAGGGCCTGTCTCTCCCTAGGGGTTGCACAGTGCCTGGTACGCCAATCTCTGTCGGAGGCTCTAGGCACTACCATAAACACACACAATAAATAATTCGCCGGCGGGCAGCTCCCCAAGCAGTAGCCAATGCAATATTGGGGGCAGGGCAGAAGCGGACTCTGAAATGTTTACCACACTGATGTCTCTTGTTCTGAGCAGATGCTGCCAACATGGTGGTAAAAGCCTCTGTGTCCTGCCTACACTATGCTTCCGCTGCTATCACTAGGGTGAATTATGGTTAATGTTTTTGCCACTGTAGACAAGGTCTTTGTGAGCAATGGTGGCAGCCTGTTTCCACCAGGACTTTACCAGGCAAGTTCATTGTCTGGTTAGACAAACGTATTGAGATTTCCGGGTCTGGACCATCCGTGATGCTCACCATTGTTGTTAAAGCCCATACGGGTCATGATTTCCAAAGTCACTAGTGACTTTTGGGGTGTGCAACCTTAAACACAGCTGATTTTACGAGGACAGGTGCGCAGCGATTTCTGAAAATTGCACCATTGAGGCCCCCTCAAAATCATACGTCACTTTTGGAAATCCCGGCCAGCGCTGTCAATTCAAGCTCTAGTCCTACGCTGCCTTCCTGCTGCCTCCCTTGCTCACTTTCTTTCCCTTCCAGGTATTGTTTGCAGTGTCATATACATACAGTCCTGGAATGTCTCAGCGAGACACAGATGTGAGTAATAATCATTTGCACACGCTGCACTCTGGGCCACAGGTCACCCAGATGCGGGAAAGTGCCTGGAGGAGTCAGCCAGGCTGTTCTGGGGCATGAAGGGAATGATGGATGTGGAAAGCCTTGGGGAGCTGCATGTGTTCAGCCTTCAAGAAATAAAAAAGGAGGCTGCCATGACACCCATGACAACCAAAGGAGGTCCTGGGGGGATCTGGGTTGGACTCCATGATAAGCAACGAGGGAAAGCCAGAGACCTGAAAACGCAGTAGTAAGAGGAGCTTTTAGCCTCCAGAACATCATATGGAACGGTGACTCACATGTGCACAGGACTCATGTATGCTAATGAGTGAGTGCAGGTTGGATTTGTAACCACCTAGTCACCCTGTTTACAAATGTATAGATTTTAAGGCCAGAACAGGGACCGTTCTACCATGTGGCCTGACTGCCTGAAGAGTGGGTGTTCAGCCTAAGCAGGTGAAGATGTGATTCTATCCCTCCAATGGATTGCCTTCTCCTCTGAATTCTGGAAAGAATGACAACTTCTTTCTCTGACAGATAGCACTTGCCATCCTGGGCTCTCTGGCAGCCTTGTACGCCTTGCTGAAGACCAGCAGTTGGGTGCGGAGGTCTCGACTTCAGAATATAAGCTTTACAGTAAGGAATAGATCATAAATGTTGGATATGTGCCTGTACACTGCATATTGCTGCCTTCTGAACATTGCCAGAATGTGATGATACCCCAACTCTGAGACTGCAAATATACTTAAGAGTGTCTCCCCAATTCCCAACTGGCCTATTGTAAATTCCTTATCTCATGGTCTTCCTCCGTCCTTACTTGCTAGATTTTAAGAGGTCTAAAATGCTTCAGCCCAACTGGTATGTCATTAGGAAGCAGGATCACACCCATGTCCTTGGTCAACTCCACCAGCTTCCTATCCAGGTCTGAATCCAGTTCAAAGTAGCCTCTACTTTCTGACTCCTTCCCTGCTCCACTGATTTTGTTCTATCCAGACTCCATGAGCTCAGGTACATCTATTATGTTTCCCCTGCTCCCACTGTGTACATCCATTCCTGGTCTGCTCCACACCCTGTTTCCATGCACCTCTCTGGGGTTTGGAGGGGTTACCCTTTCCTGTGGTTCCCCCCTCTCCTCTGAATCAATCTCTTTAAACCTCACCTCGAGCTGCTCTTTACTCTGGGATTAAAGGACAGTGCGTACGGACACAAAGGCAGGGCTAAGAGCTCCATACACAAAGTTGTGGGTACAATAGAAACCTGGGGATTAGAACGCTGGGTTCTACTCCTGGTTCTAACCAGTCCCTGCCTCATTTTTGCCCTCTGTAAAATGGGAATAATAACACCAGCCCCAAATAGAGTCAGAGGTTTCAGTCATTAGTGTCTATAAAGTGTCTGAGATCCTTGGATGGAAAGCACTAGAGAGAGGGGAAATTCCTCCCTATTACTCTGGGACAGAGGCACCTGCATTAACTCTCCACATGGCCATTATACAGCTGCATTAGCGTTGCTGATCCAGCAGCTTCTGAGATGATGTCATTAAGCCAGCTGAAAGCTGCTCTGCTATTGATTAGGAGTTTCAGATACACAGTGGGGGAATTGCTTGATCTAACACACATTTCCTACTGGAGGGAGTGATTGCTGCATTTAGGACCACACTCATCCCTGGCAAAAACAGGCGCAGCTCCTGCTGACATCCGTGCTGGAATTGGCCCATGGTCTGTAAAGCTCTTTGAGATCCTTCTGGATGTAAAAAGGATTCCAAGTTCCAGCAGTTGACCCCAAGACAAAGGTCAAGGGCCAAGCCAACACACATAACAAAGGTTTTTCTCCTCCCAATATTTGTCCATTTCCTTTTTCCTTCCCCAGATTTTAGTCAAGTCCTTTGCCTTCTTTGCTGGGGCCCTGGCCAATACCTTCTACGTGGTCGCCCTGGGGATGGGAATTTATTGGCTCATTGTTTTCAAGGTGAGTTGCTGTGTTTCTTTGTGCATTTTGCCTGGTTCTTTCCTGAGTCCCTAGCTCAGCGGTTCTCAAACTGTGGGTCAGGACCCCAAAGTGGGTTGCGAGCCCATTTTAATGGGGTCGCCAGGGCTGACTTAGACTTGCTGGGGCCCGGGCCAAAGCCAAAGCTTGAGTCCCACCACCCAGGGCCCACATCCCACCACCTGGGGCTCAGCTTTGGCCTCCCAACCCGGGGTAGTGGGGCTCGGGTGAGCTCAGGCTTTGGTCCCCCCTTCTTGGGTCATGTAGTAATTTTTGTTATCAGAAAAGGGTCACGCTGCATTGAAGTTTGAGAACCCCTGCCCTAGCTACTCGGCCTCTTGGCTTAGTTCTGGGGCTCACTGTGATCTGGCTGGCTTGGTGCTTGATAGATCTGGTATCAAGTCACACAGCCCACGAAAGCTTATGCTCAAATAAATTTGTTAGTCTCTAAGGTGCCACAAGTACTCCTGTTTTTTGTTTGTTTTTTTTTTAAATCTTCAGTCTGAATTTTTTATATGCCTGCCTTCAGGGACACGGAGAGTCTGTGCCAAAGCACAGGATCAAGCCCAGCCAGATTGCTGCAGGTTGAAGCAGGCTCAGAATAAAGAGACGATGAAACATCTCATTCCTCCAGGGAGATCAACTGGACTGTGGAACGGTTCCCCGCAGCAAGTGATGGAAGCCCAGTTGCTTGGGATATTAAAAATCTGATAGACAAAGCACTGGGGAATCTACACAGTGGGCTAGAGCAGCAGTTCTCTGCCCGTGGGTGGAGTGTGACCCCAGATTTTCCTTGATCTGCAGGAAATGACAGAATTTTTTCTCCTTCTGTCTAAATTCATTTAATCCATCCACAGGGTCAGCAGTCTTCAGCGGTTGAGGTTATGGTGCCCCCGGCAGGCAGTCAAATAGAAACCAACTTTATTATCTACTTGTCCTGCGCTTTTGTGTTAAAGGTAAGCAGGAGAGCGTGTGGAGAGAGGGCAGAACTGGCTGCTGCGGGGCAGGGGTCGGCCTGGGAGGGTGGGACAGCGTGTCTCAAAAGTTTCAAAACCCGCCTAAGAGTAGGTCAGAAGCCAAAATACTGGGGAAATGCCGTTTTCTTTGCAGTTCCAGCCTGTCTGAAGCCCACAGTTCTGGAAACAGCCTCTTCTCAGGAGATCTCCTAGGTTCTCATAGCTTATCTGTAAGTTAGCTGTGGCCTTTGGCTTGGGATTCTGGGCAGCTGCTGGGGTCCCTTTGCTAAAGCCAGGGCCAGCTCAGACAGGCTGTTGGCCCTGCAGCCACGGAGCGTCGCAGCTGGTTGAAGTTCTGGTGCTCCGGTGGCTTGCGTTTTGGCGTATGGGTCAGCGCCTGCGGAGCTCCATCCCCACACACCCTCCCACAGCATTGTAGTAGTTACCTGCCTAGTCTGAGCTGCCTGCACCTCTCTCTGCCCCAGGGCTTGCTTCTCCTTCATGAGCAGTTTGGGGCAGGTGGGAGAAGGTCTGGGGTTTTGCAGCCCAGCCCCCCCCCAAAGAAATGGCTTCACAGAGGGTCCCCAGGTTTGGCTGAACCGGCCCTGGCTAGAGTGAGACTGCGATGCTGACTGGCTGTGTGGTAATGAGCTAAACCTTTCTGGTTGCTCTCATTTCAGGCTGTGGATTGCTTCATCTCCTGATCACCCAGCTAACAGTCTCCATCTTCCTGATAGACTGGGAAAAGCCAAAGGAGAAACCAGCATTTAAAGCACCAGCAGGTCAATTCAACCTTTCACTCTCTGTACCCTCTGTGTTTATAAACCACCCTGTCATAGAGCAGCCCTGACTGGAGCTACCTCCTGCAGCACGCCACGGCATGAATTAGGGCTGCCAATTTTCTGACCAAACGAAACCGAACGCCCTTGCCCCGCCCCGTCTCCAAGGCCCCGCCCCTTTCACTCCATCCCCCCCCCCCCCCCCCGTTGTTCACTCTCCCCCACCCTCACTCACTCGCTCATTTTCACTGGGCTGGAGAGGTCCCTTTTCGACCAGGTGTTCGGTTGAAAACCTGCCTCCGTTTCTCTCCTACTGAGTCCCCGGAAATAGTCCATACAGTCTTTCTTTGTGCAAATGGCCCTTGTGGGGTTAATTATGATAGAAAAAAGCCCCAGGCACATAAGAAGAAGTCCCAACACCATAATAACCCAGGCAATACACCAACTACAGCCCCCGGCGCCTGGGCTCCACCCGGCGTCCCTGGCGCCCGTCGCTCGCCCCGGCTCTGAGAGCCGGCAGTCATCGCTATCCTTCTCTGCCGCCTTCAGCCTTCTCTGGCCTTGGCTCTCCGCCTCAAGATGGACAGCTGGCTAGCCCCTCCACTGGCTTCCTGATCATTCCTCCTCCTTTCAGAGGGGGCCTGCAGAGAGCTCCTGGCAGCTTTCCCCAGAGACCCCCTGCAGTCCCCGACCTTTCCTCGCTGATTCTCATCAGGACTTCCCCTCTCTGATTCCCCTGCTCCTTTATAACCCCCCAGGTGCTGCCCCACCCTCTTAACTGACCAAATTGGGAGCATCTGTTCTGGCACGGGCTGGCACAGGGACCAGCCACCCTGATGCGCGCACACAGAGGGCTAGCCCTGCACATGTGCCATTTCCACTTCTCTCTTGAGGATTCAGTGCTGAAGGATATTATCAAACATCAGTGTTGCAGAAATATCAATGGAATGCTCATTGGCTCCCCTTCACTTAGCAAGCAGGGGAGGGCAACGTGGTCTACTGAGACTGAGGGGAGAGGGGTCAGGACTCCTGGGTTCGATTCCTGACTGGGTGGGTGACTAACTGTGCCGCCTCAGTGAAGCGTCTACACTGCAGTCAGAGGTATGGCTTTGATTTAAATAGCTCCAAAAACAATAGCAGTGAAGTTGCGCCATCACAGCCTGGCAGCACGGGCTGTCCAAGCCGGCCTGGAACAATGGCTCCATGTCTAGTTGGCAGCCGGTATCAAGCGGAGTGCCCCAAGGGTCGGTCCTCGGGCCGGTTTTGTGCGATAGCTTCATTAATGATCTGCAGGATGGTGTGGATTGCACCCTTAGCAAGTTTGCAGATGACACTAAACTGGGAGGAGAGGTAGATACGTGGGAGGGTAGGGATAGGATACAGAGGAACCTAGACAAATTAGATGATTGGGCCAAAAGAAATCTGATGAGGTTCAACAAGGACAAGGGCAGAGTCCTGCACTTAGGACGGAAGAATCCCATGCACCGCTACAGACTAGGGACCAAATGGCTCGGCAGCAGTTTTGCAGAAAAGGACCTAGGAGCTACAGTGGACGAGAAGCTGGATATGAGTCAGCAGTGTGTGCCCTTGTTGCCAAGAAGGCTAATGGCATTTTGGGCTGTATAAATAGGGGCATTGCCAGCAGATCGAGGGAACGTGATCCTTCCCATCTATTTGACATTGATGAGGCCTCATCTGGAGTACTGTGTCCAGTTTTGGGCCCCACACTACAAGAAGGCTGTGGAAAAATTGGAAAGCATCCAGCAGAGGGCAACAAAAATGATTAGGGGACTGGAACACAGGACTTATGAGGAGACGTTGAGGGAACTGGGATTGTTTAGTCTGCAGAAGAAAGAGGGGGGATTTGATATCTGCTTTCAACTACCTGAAAGGGGGGTTCCAAGAGGATGGATCTAGACTGTTCTCAGTGGTACCAGATGACAGAACAAGGAGTAATGGTCTCAAGTTGCAGTGGGGGAGGTTTAGGTTGGATATTAGGAAAAACTTTTTCACTAGGAGGGTGGTGAAACACTGGAATGCGTTACCTAGGGAGGTGGCGGAATCTCCTTCCTTAGAAGTTTTTAAGTCAGGCTTGACAAAGCCCTGGCTGGGATGATTTAGTTGGAGATTGGTCCTGCTTTGAGCAGGGGGTTGGACTAGATGACCTCCTGAGGTCCCTTCCAACCCTGATATTCTATGATTCTGTGACCCCAGGTATGTGCTGAGCACCTTGCCCATGCTGTTACAGCTTCATGGCCAGTGTTACTTGAGCTAGCTACAGCAAAGCTAGCTTTTTGTCTGACTGCAGTGTGGACGTCCCCTTAGGGTCAGATTTTCAGAAATTGCTTTGGGGTTACCTCCATTTTTAGGTGCTCAGTTTCAGCTTGGGTGAAATCTTGACCCTACCAAAGCCAATGAGAGTTTTTCCATTGACTTCCACAGCCAGGATTTCACCCCCCCACACCCCATGCTAAGCTGTACTCAGCATTGCAATGTTGAAGTCTCATTTTCTAAAGAGATTAAGGAGCCTGGTTCCTCTGTGGGGCTGAGCAGCCCTGACTGCAGCAATGGCTAAATACTTTTTAATATCTGGGCAGAAGGGATTTAGAAGCACAATCCCACTAACTTGTGCCTAAGTGACTTGGGGACTTCTGAAAATCCCCCCCACCCGAGGTGTCGAAAGCCCAGAAAGAGAGGCCCTTTTTTGAAGAACATGATGATAATCCCTGCTGTACAGCACAGGGCTGCGTTGCTGCTGACTTGGCTAATTAGTGTTTATAAAGCACTTCCAGATCCTCTGCACTTCTGGGAAATCAGTGGCAGCTTGGCAGGCGGCTATTTTGGGAGCTAGCTCACCTCTGATTGTAACGATTTCATATCGAGAGTGGTAAATTAATGGAAGTGAGGCTCAGGGAAACCCAACTGTGCGGAGCTTTGTGTCCTAGGAGCCTGTGCCGGTTTTTAAAATAAAGCAAATTGAAATCAGTGTGTTGGTTTCCCCTTAGGAGGGCAGAGGGCCACTTCCTCTGTGAGTATTTGGAGAACTTTCCTGATAGCCAATGAGTGGAATGAGATCCAGACTCATAGGAAATTGAATCCATCGCTTCAGCTGTTCGGAGTGTTACTGCTCCTGGAGGTACGTGGGAGGTGGGGAGAGAGACACCTGGAGGAAGTAAGTAACCTCTGGGATCTGGCACCAACCCATCCATAGTCCCTGGCGCGCTCTGCAGATATAATTCCGGACGTGACACCATGGAAAAGCACTGCCACCATTCTGTGTGTCAGTCTGCAGCTCTGATCACGGAGGGGAACCGGAGGCTTGTTTGAGGTTTCGACTGAGCTTTGGGCAAGGGTTCAGGGAGAATGAGACATGTTTTGTATTTTAATCCCAACCAGTCTGAGCATCTGTAATGAGGCGGCATCTCAGTGACTGGCCCTCTGTGGAATGAGATGGGCTTGCAGTTATAGCACGCAGCCACCAGATGTCTCTGTGTGCTGTGGAGAGAGAGAGTCAACCAGGTTATGGTCACTGGTGAAGAAAGGAGACAAAGCCAGAATTTAGGCTTTGTGGAAGCCTGGTTAATTGTGTCTGTTGTGTATAGTCGTTTATTAAATGCCTCCTTTTAAGGACTGAGAGTCTATGTAGCATGGTACTCTGGGTTTGGACCGTTCAGAGCCTGGCAAAATTTGGGAAGTGAGAGAAGAATCCCGTTTCTTGGTTAAGTCCTTTTCCAGAAGCAATCTCTACCTTTGCACCTCCAATTTCTTGCCTCTGCAGTGACTTGTATTTGTGCACCCAAACAGCATTTTACACTTGCAAATTAGGCAGTTAATTATGCACACCATTTGCACAGAGCAATGTGGGAGTTTTTGTATGTGGAAAAAAAATTGTGGGCATGAGATTGTGGGCACTGATTTAGAGGCTGGTTGAAAATTTGGTCCCAAGAGCTCAGGAAGCAGGAACCTTTCTATGCCCTGTCCATCACCCTGGGACCTGAAAGCCTTATATGCTGGAGACTTTTGCAGAAGGGTTAGGAATTCAGGGAACAGTCCAGGTTTGCTGTAACCTTCCAGGATTTGCCATGGCCAGTTGTTGTTTATTCATACCTACAATGGGCTTAGGGGCCTCGCGGCCCCTGGAGAACTCATCTCACGTAGGGGTTCTGATTTACTTCACCTGTTTTTATTTCAGGTTGTGGGCTTGAAAAACATCGCATCACGAGACCTGAACCTGGATCTGCACCCCGGCACTGACACTTACCTGGCTGCCTGGAGCCCAGTCCTTAGATTTGGGATTGCTGCTTCTCTCTGGCTGGCACTGGGAATTGCACAGGTTATGCTCTGCCTGTCATGTTGGTAAAGTGCTTTGGGGAAATTTAGGGTGTGAAAGAAGCCAAGAGCACTCAGGATCAGACCCTTTTTGAGATAGGGGAGGGCACAGCCAGATATCAAAGTTCTCCTAAGGGTGTGGGTTTAATCTCCACCTAGGCAGCCCAAAGATGGGCAGAAGAAAGAGTTTAGCATTTCATCCTTTCACTCCTCTACTACGGCACGAACGATGGAGATTAGAAAAGGAAAAGACTTTTGGGTCATCATCCAATCTAGCATTAATGCCTGAAACCCTGGAACATCTGTCAGCACTGGCTTTGAGCCTATGTACTTGTGTGGGACTTGAACTTGTGGCCTGGTGGCAAAAGTGTTACCCCTGTGAGCCACGGTGATGGACAAAAATGAGTGCTCCCGAAAAGGTGGGAGGAAGGGAGGAAAGGAAACTTTGTATTGTCTTGCTTCCCGGGACATGTTATGTGAAACTTCTGCTAAGTCACAACAGTGCAGCTGTGTGTTGCTGTTTCTGCAGGTGGTGTTTTTCATAGGCATCTACGAGCGGTTTGTGGAAGACAAGATTCATCAGTTCGTAGATCTCTGTTCCATGAGCAACGTGAGTCTTGACCTGGGTCACCGATGGATCACATGCACTAAAGTCAATGGAGCTGCACCAAATTTACACCAAGTGAACATGTAAAGAGGCGCTGTTAAGATGCAAATTATATTGTAAAATGATTTTGTTTCTTTGTCTCCCTAATAACACCCTCGTTAACTAAAACAGGGGAACTCTAAGATTCTAATTTACTTTCCACCGGACTAGGAAAGGGCTCAATTTCCAGCCAGGCTCCCCTTGGGGGTGTGCGCAAAATCTGGACATGCACCACTCTGTGCACACAAACCTTACATTTGCACACCTTGCAACCTGCACTGTGCACACACATTGGGCAGTTAGGCCTGTGGATGCAGGTGTGCATGCTCAGTGGTGTGCATACGAATTTCATGCTGGCACAAAGCAGAGGCCAGCTGACAGCCTGGCCCTAAAGGGCTGGGGGCAGTGCCGGGTAAAGTCTCCCATCCACCAGGTACTTTATACTACGTATCAGCTTTCTTCTTATGCCTGGTCACTGTGCTTCCTCCCTGCGCTGGTGGCGTGGCTAGGAACCCACTCTGCATCTTCATCCACTCTTGGATTTCCCATGCGCCCAGAAAGCCTTTTTGGTTTCTTTATACTAATGGTCTATGAAAACGAGCGATTTGGAACAGGTCTGAGGTTGAGGAGGAAACGAGTGAGTAACAGCTCTCCTTCCCTTTGCTGCCACAACTCCCCTTGCTCCGGGTTGATTTACTACCATGAATAGCTGCTCTGAGTGTATAAGCACTGGATATAACCCAAGTCTACTCCATAGATTGCCAGCAGCTCAGTGTGTCCACCGCAGACGATGCGTGTTTGGAAGAGGGGGGACATGGCATCATGAAGCATAGGAGGCTGGTGCACACTGCACATTTCTGCGCTTGACCTCCAGAAATGTCATGAGCTTCTCATCCTCCACATCCTATTCTCCATCCCTGCAGGTGTCTGTCTTCATCCTGATGCACGGATGCTACGGCTTCTACATCCATGGGCGGAGCGTGCATGGCCATGCAGATGTGGGCATGGATGCCATGCATGCCTGCCTCAGGAAAGAGGAGGTAATCCAGCCACCTTGTTCGGCCTTACTTCCTAGTCACTCCTTCTCGAACCTGCTGGTCTCTGCATCTGGAGGGCTGCCATCCGTAGGGGGGCCAGTGCAGGGTTTACCACAAGGCACAGGAGGTAGGCAGTACTTGCCTCATTTATGTTTTCTTTAATGCAGAGGCCTTCGTCTTTGCCTTTAGCAGTGGGTGACGTGATCCTTGTGCACAGATTCTGGAATCACTCTGCAGAGGACTGTAGGATCTTGGTACCTACGGCCCTATGGAGATGCCAGTCAGTATTATTGCCTTTCCCTGATTACACTTCAGTTGTCTCCCCTGGCAGGAGAACCTGTGTCCTCTAAGAGGTCTGGAGGCCAACTCTGACATTCAGACCTTCGAGGTGCTTCTCACTGACAGAGCCAGGCAGTTGTATGACAAGATAACGCAGCCCTTGACAGAGGTATTTTGCCCTTTGCAGGGCTAGCTAGGCTTCTTACTGTTGGCTTTTTCATGCTTTTCTTTACATGGGTTGGTTTTCAATCCTCTGCTCTCGAGATTTCTCAGACAGGAGCAGAAGAAACCTGCAGTGATGTTGAGTTTTGTGAGTGTTATTGCCAGAACCGTTGTGAAGGCTGGTGTTGGAAAAAAATCAGAACCCTTTCCAGCATAGTCACACCTCAAAAAAAGGATGACGATAAATCCAGCCCTTCCTTAGTGATGATGCTAGAGAATAGTTGGAGTAGCCTGGAACCCTAACTGTGTCTCCAGCTGTCAAATGCATTTTACCTTCTTACTGCTCTTCATCTCTCCATCCCCATTTCTGAACTCCCTGCTCCAGGAGACACCCTAACAGAGAACGGTGCACAACTTTCAAAGCACAACGGGAGATGGTCTAAACCTAAACCCTTTGTAACACATTAATAACTGGCCACTGCATTGGTAACTGGTCATATCTTCCTTATGGCGGAACCCTTCTTCACATCCAGTTGATTTCAATGGAAATTAGGAGTCTAAATACCTTTGAGGATCTGTCCCTTATTCCTGTAATCCAAGTGGGGTAGGGTTTTGTGATTTTGATGCTGGAGGTCCCGGATTCGTCCATGGTTCATTACAGCCAGATCCAAACACAGCTGAACTTCCTAGGTGGAGGCTGGAATCCAAACCATGGTTCAGATCTGAATTCTGCAGCTGACCCATCTCTCTGTAATGATCTGAAGCAACAACGCCCCTTATCCAAAGCCATCCATTCCAGACTCGACAATTGTGACTTGGGACCCTTTCTAAAGGAAACCCCAAATGAGGCAAGTGTCACTGGTGTCATGCTCTGTTACACACTGGAAAGTCTGCACAGATGCAGGAACCTTTGGGACAGATAAGTTCTTGCCCAAGTCAGGTTCTGATGCTCAAAACCACTAAAACTTGGCTAGCTGAGCTGAGGTTTGTGTTTGTTTGAATTCAAATCAAATGAGCAAATACAATTGCCCAAACTTCTGTGATCCCAATTGGATGAGCTTTGCACAGCTCCAGCTGTCACCAGCATCACTCGCTCTCACCTGAGTTGAGGTGCGTGCTTGCAAAGTCCCTTTGATTCCATTTCTTTAAGGACTACAGGCTGCCCAGCTGCTTGTAACTACATCTTGGCATATGTGGGTCATAATTGAAAACTCCCCAGTTGTGGGTGTCTGCCATGCAAACCAAAGGCTCCAAAGCAGCAGGTGAAAATTGAGCCAATATCCCTGCTGCCAAAGTGAAAATTTGAATGAAAATAAATTATTTTTCCTCAGAAGCAGAGAGCTGAGCTCCCTGGGCTCCCACTGTGAACTGAAAGTGCTTCTGGGAACTTTCTTTGCAGGTGAGAGTCAGGGTCGACCTACATGAGCAAAGACTAAGGAGTTATTACGCCTTGAATCGATTTCTCAGCTCATTCCTTGAACACGTGAGCCCATTATTTGCCTTTTCCAAAGGTCTGGTTGTGTCCACCCTAAGATTTTAGTGGGAACTAGTGGTTGGAGGAAGAGACTGGGAACTGGGACTCCTGGGTTCATTTAGTCTCTGTCGCTGACTCACTGTGTGACCTTCAGTAAGTCGCTGCCCCGCTCTGTGCCTCAGTTTCCCCAGCTGTAAAATGAGGATGATCGTCCCTTTCTCACAGGCGAGTTCTGAGGCTTAATTAGTTGATATTCATGAAGGGCTTTGAAATTATCCGATAAACGGCACTTTAGGAGAGCAAAAAGTTTTATAGGTGCTCTGGACACCAGGCATAGCACCAGGTCTGGTGTCTGATACCGAGGCCAGCAGCTTGCTCATCCCCAACAAGGGTTGAATTGGAGGTCATGGCTCCGATTTAGGTCCCAATGCCCAAAGAGCTGGGGTGGGGGTTGGTTAAATGACTCCAGGCTGGGCCTACCTCTCCAAGGAACCTCTTGCTCAGCTGACCCCCCGTCCCCGGCTGGCTGTGAAGCAAGTCACATGCAGCAGATCAGGGGGTGCAGCCACGAGGTTTGTCGGTAGTATCTGCTCAAATCTGCAGTTCAGGGGCCAAACCCCACCCTCAACTATGCCTCCCACTGCAGCCCGCGGGCATTGCATGCATGGACCTGACGGTAGGAACTGCCCCAGTGTACTTTGTACATGATAACTCCAAACACGGTGGAGTGCCCATTCCCTAGCACCCTGCTGCCTTCCCTGCAGATGGTTCCTGATCCCAGTCACTCTTGGAATGACAAAGAATCCCCTCCTGATATCTACCCAGAACCACTACTTCCCGAATGGGGGAAGGAGGATGCTGTCAGCGATGAGGCATTGACCAGGAGTTCTGGGGTTCAGTTCTCAGCTTTGTCACGGACTCCCTGTGTGACCTTGGCCAAGTCACTTAGGGCCAGATCCTCCAAGGTGTTTAGGCTCCTAACTCCCCTTGATTTCAAAGGAGGTTAGGAGCCTAAATACCTTTGATCAGTGGTCCCAGTTGCCCACCTGTAAAATGGGGTGAATGCTTCTGTTGCCCTGTCTAGGGAGACTGTAACCTTTCGGGGGGCCAGAACGGTTTCTGATGCCTGCACAGGTTTGTGATGCCTGCACAGTGATCCAACAAGTGCCGACAATCAAGATAATTACATCATAGGCATTTATGCACCTCCGTTTTTAGACCCGTCTCTAAAAGTGGCTCAGAAACCCATCCCAGCTGAAACGCCCCTCCACTATTGCTGTGTATCCCCTGCTTGGCTGAGTTCAGCCATGTTGAATAGTCAGAATCGCTTCACACTGGGAATCCGTGGCAAAACATAGCTTCTGATCAGATTGTTCATTTCCGTGAGGGCTGCGGTGTAACAGCATCCTTCAGAGTGCTTGGTCTGCCTGTGGGGGTTTTATGGTGCTGCCAGGGCAGGTTCTGGCTAGCCCGAGTCTGCAGCTGTCCACACGCTCTGTTCTGCTTTCAGTTGGTGAAGATGCTGCGGCATGCGCTTGGAAGGAGAAATCTGGCAGCAAAAACGCTGGTGGAGAAGCAGTTTCTGATCTAGAGGTGAATAGGAAGCCGTGGCCACTTACTCCCCTCTTCCCAGTGCCAGCATCAAAGCAAGAAGGCCGGGACCCTACAACTAATTTTAGAAGCGAGGACTTTGCAGCCTTGATCCTTCTAGGTCCTTGGCCTGTGAAGGGAGAATGGAACGATCACTGCAGTTTACCACTCTAGTTACTATGGGTAAAGCTCTGTGCTTCCTACCAGCCCAGGAAACATGCAGCCCTACTGTTATTATTTCTCACTTTAAGTTGTTTCCCAGGCGTATTTTGATTTCACAGCCGAAAGATTCCTTTCTGCTGATCAAACCCTGCTCTGTTATTTAGCCATCAGAATAAGACACCCACGCCCACGGGATTTTTGGTGCTTGTATATTTTTAATTGGGAGACAAAAGGCCACCCTCTGACGCTGACCCTGGTTTTATGGAGCAGCTTTGTTTGTTTCTTAATAGGAAGCAGAAAACATCTGAAAGGAGCAGGGGAATGGCAATCCATGTGCTGTCTACACAATGCATCTGAGCTGCACAGCTCTCTGGTGGGTTCTGCTTAGCTCAGGCAATGGATGCAATCTGCAGGGTAACCCAAATGTAATTTACAAGAAGGGCTCAGTGGGGTCTGATATACCGCAGGACAGACCACCTCACACATCCTCTCTCCCTACCTAATTCAAACACCAGCTCAGTCCTTTCCTTCACTAGGCACGAGTCTTATGCAGAATATAGTTTATTGACCTCCAATGGAGGTAAATCACAGGCAGATGTGTGTCCGGCAGATGTGTGTCCAGCATCATTCTGGGCTTTTCTATTCCTTTCATTTGTATTCTACATAGCGCTGTTTCTTTAAACGAAGAGGGGCAGCTGCATTAGACAGAGCAGCTATGTTACACAGCCTGTATTCCTCCAGGGCAGGATTGAGGCTAAAGCCGGGGCTTTGATTTCACTTCACACAGCCGTCGTCTCTGGGATCCACCTGGAGCGCATGCTCTGATTCCAGGGTTGGACCGAGCCTCAGGATTCACAGCCAAAATGCAGGAATTCCAGCTGGTTTTGCGCTAACAGCATGGATTCCAGTGGCAACCCATCAACAGGCCCAAGTTTGGAGGGACACAGTCTGGCACACTTAAAATTAAGCACAGGCTTAAGTGTTTTTCTGAATAGGGACACTTTCCTACACTGGAGCCAAACTTCTGAAGGAAACAGCCCATCCCAGAGCAACATGGGCTGTGATGCAAGTGTTGTCTGTTTCTAGGACAAAGAGAACTGGACGAGCGACCAAGTGCTGAAATTGGCAGAGACTCCCATGGCTATAGCAAACAGCCTCCTGCAAAGGATCCGTGCTTGTTTCACTTTGTTTTGGTTTGAATACATGAAGATTTAGTGTGTTTGCTGCTAGGAACATTTATTTTTTAAAACAACCATGTGTTGGGTTTAAGCCTGTTTTAATTTTCTCTAAATCAGTGACTACATTTAATAAAAAATACAAAAACCAACAACCTCACTGATGGTCTCAAAACACCACCACCATTTCACGGGTACAGAATGAGATAGTCCCCAATTTGTGAAGGTCACATCAACAGAGTAAAAGCTCAGCAGGTCTCCACATTAGAGCTTTTACTAATAAGGGCTTGTCTACACAGCCACATCCAGGAAAATTTATCCGAATTAACTAAAGGGGTGAATCTGAAGTGGATTAATTAAACTGCATTAAATCCCTTTGTGGATTCTGTTGTTCAGATTTAAAGTGGCTTTAATGCAGTTTAATTTAAATCACTCTGGCAGTTAATTCAGCTATGCTGCATTAAGGCCACGCTAATTCTGAAAGAGGGTGTTCATATGGGGTTTAGTGAGGTATAACTAATTCACTTCAAATTCACCTCTTTAGTTAATTCAGATTAAATTTCCTGGATGGCCCTGTGTAGACAACCATAGGCTCCTGAAGGAGTGAACTGGCACCAATCTGCTCACCTCATTCAAATCACTTGATTTCATAATATGACCTCAAAGTTTTCCTCTCAAGGTTGCTTTATTCTTTCCAACAGTCATTCTAGGGAGAACCCATTAATTACAGAACCATACTCAAGGGCTGTGCATGTCTGTCACCTTCCAGCCAAGCATGTGAAAGCCCCTCAGAAACGCCCCCGAGATGTAAATATGGTGGATCCTGTTCTGATGCACGTATCTCGCCCCATGCATTGTATAGGGAGCCTAGGTGCCTTCCATTTTACATGGGGAAATGGAGACAGACAGGAGTGGTGATGTGCTCAAGGCCATTCAGTGAGTCGATGGCAGAGCCGGGGATCGCTCCCAGGTCTCCTCAAACCCGTTCTGGTGCTTTCTATTGCTAATGCGGTCTTAACAAGCAAATAACAATCAGTAAATAAATGGGCTGGTGTGTAGCCCTATGTCCCCTGTCCACTTCCAGGGAGCTTGACAACATTTTAAAACAAAGCAGGTTGAAAACAAACCTAAGGAAGTACATCTTCACCCAGTGCATAGCAACCTGTGGAACTTGTTGCCATGGGTGATGGATATAATAGGCCAGGGAAGGCTAAGCCTCCCCTAACCCAGGCTGTGGCCCCACCGCTGCTCCACCTTGAGACCACACCCTCTCTCCCCCTCACCACCTGAAGCCGGCAGGAGCTCAGCTCGGGCCGGTGGCCCGGGCTTTGGAGCAGCTGGGGCGGGCAGATGGGCCGGTTCTTGGGGTGGCTCAACTAGGGCTCCTCTGGCTGTTGGGTGTGGGGGCCTCAGGGCTCTGGCAGGCAAGGGGGGAGAAGGGGCAGGGTCTTGGACAGAAACGGGGGGGCTGGAGGACTAGCCTCCCCACATGGGGCGTTCATGCGCTGCCCATGCTTCTTGCCATAGGATGTTGTGAAGGCCAAATGTCTAACTGGGTTAAAAAAAAACCAAACAACTAGATAAGTTGATGGAGGATAGATCAATCAATGGCTGTTAGCCAAGATCATCAGGGACACAACCCCATGATCCGGGTGTCCCTAAACCTCTGACTGCCAGAAGCTGGGACTGGGTGATGGGGATGGCTCACCGATAATTGTCCTGTTCTATTCATTCCCTCTGAAGCATCTGGCACTGGCCACAGTCACAAGACAAAAAGAAAAGGAGTACTTGTGGCACCTTAGAGACTAACCAATTTATTTGAGCATGAGCTTTCGTGAGCTACAGCTCACTTCATCAGATGTTTACCGTGGAAACTGCAGCAGACTTTATATACACACAGAGAATATGAAACAATACCTCCTCCCACCCCACTGTCCTGCTGGTAATAGCTTATCTAAAATGATCAACAGGTGGGCCATTTTGATCATTTTAGATAAGCTATTACCAGCAGGACAGTGGGGTGGGAGGAGGTATTGTTTCATATTCTCTGTGTGTATATAAAGTCTGCTGCAGTTTCCACGGTAAACATCTGATGAAGTGAGCTGTAGCTCACGAAAGCTCATGCTCAAATAAATTGGTTAGTCTCTAAGGTGCCACAAGTACTCCTTTTCTTTTTGCAAATACAGACTAACACGGCTGTTCCTCTGAAACCAGTCACAAGACAGGATCCTGGGTTACATGGACCATTGGTCTGACCCAACGAGGCCATTCTGATGTACTCCATAAAGCTTGGTGGCTGTGCGGAGCAGCACCCCGGTCAGAATTCCTGCTTCCTGTTGCTCAGGAAGCCCATTGCACTGCACAGCGCTGTGCCCTGCATAACAGGTTTCATAAGACGCATAAACCCCCCAGCTGGCTGAGTCTGGCTCTCCCATGACGAAAAGGCTGTTTGGCCACAACTAACAATGCAGGGCAAAACAAACACCCACCCAGCAAGTGGAGAAAGGGGAGTCCCCATTATAGACAGACACAGAACCCAGTTCAGGAGGCTAATGCAATGAATGGCAGGAGATAGTCACAGCACTTAATGCCCCTCTGGAGGTTGCTCAGATGTCAGATGGGCACAGCCCGCCCTGCTTTTTGTCTGTGAATCTCAAAGGGCTTTACAAAGGAAAGCTTTATCCCTGTTTTACAAATGGGGAAACTGAGGCACAGAGTAGGGCTGTGGTTTGTCGAGGTCACTCAGCAAACCAGTGGCAGGGCCAGGAATAGAAGCCAGGACTCCCGAGTCCTAGTCTAATGTTCTAGCCAGTTGGCCACACTGGCACCTTGGGCATCACCTATTGTGCTTCCAGTGCTCAGGGAGGCTGTTCCATGTGACTGGGTTCTGAAAGGGGCTCCTAAGAACGCTAGAAAATTAAACCCTCTGATTGGCTGTCTGCCCCAGCTCCCTGCCTCCTGAGGCTGAACAACCAATCAGAGCTGCTGCAAACAGAGCTCTTGCTCTCCCATCAAAGAGCAGCTGTTCTCACTTGGCAGAGGTGGGTGGGGGCTGCTGAAGGGAACAGCCTGAATTTTATCCTGGGGCAGGGATTTCATGCCTCAGACCATGCTCAGCGTGGGTGGAGGTATGTAACAAATGACAACTGGGATTTATTACCAGAGAGGACATATTAAAAGAGGGAAAGTAGGGCTAAACTTCAGCACAGTAACAGCAGGGAAATGCCACTGATGCAGACACACAGCCAGCCTGCTACAAACAGCTCAGTACCCTGTGAGCTCCAACCCTACTGCTTGGGGCAGGGGAAGGTTAGCACACATGAGGATGGCCAAGTTGAGGCCCTCTACCCTTCTTACCATTATCCTGCACTCTTTTTATATTGCTCGCTCCCAGGGGATGCTGGGAGTTGTCATCCGTGCATTCTGGGGATTGTATTTGCCATGCAGCATACAGGAGACTCCACCTTTCTCTGGGCAGTTCCCAAGCTAATTGGGCAAGCGTGTGGTCTAAGACCCTCTACAATGCAGGCCCCTTTTACTGGGTGGAGGACCTGTAGTGTTACTCTTGCAAGCTGAGGTAACATGGAGGGTGACTCTCTGTTTCCTTAGATCTTAGTTAAGTCTTTTGGTGGGGTGTTTGTGTGTTAATGGGTCCTAGCTGTTGTGTGCAGTCAGCTCTTACCATTCTTGGAGCCCACAGGCTAGCACACAACACTAGCTGTAGTCTACTTCATATTAAATGACTCAGCAGCTCAGGGCTCGCCCAAGGTGCTGTGAGAGTAGCAATGGCCCAGTCAGGAAAATGGCATGATGTGATGTGCACTAAGGTTTGGCAAAGCATTGGAGCACAGACTGTAAGGCCCAGTCATGAAGATCCCCCTTGGGGAGGTTTGCCCCTGCTCTGCCTCTTCCAGCTGCGGCCACACCCCTGCTCTCAGCCCACCCCCCGCCCCATGGGCCCAGCTGAAGGGGGGGGGCAAAGAGCTCAGCCCCTCCCATCATGGTCCCAGTAGGGGACAGCTGAGAGCTTGGTCAGAGCCATGAAGCGGGGCTGAGAGCTTGGTCCCAGACAAGGTTGAGCTCTCAGCTGGGACTGTGGTGGAGGCCCTGGCTGGAGCTCTGGGCCTGGAGCCCTACCCCTGCTCTGCCCCTTCCCTGTTCTGCCCACAGCCCCTTCCCTCTGCGGCCCCTAGGCTGGAAAAGCTCTGTGCCCTGGGGCCATGGTGGAGGGGGGAGATTTTTCTGGGGCCCCCAAATCTGCCACGGTACCCCCTGGCAGCATGAGGTTTTGGGATGGCCTCCCCCAGCCTCCATTACGTGCTGCCCCCAGTCATGTGCTGAGAAGGGTAGGGTTAGCTGCTCTGGTATGTCTTTACTGATGCTTGGCTCAGTGTGGGGGGTTTTATATAGCAAATACTTAGTGAGGTTATTGGACTGAGAAAACCATAGGATGTGGCCTGTTGCCTATGAGGGTAAGAACACTACCATTTATTTAGCACTTTTTCTCGTCAAAATTTCTCAACACTAATTAACTTTCCCAACTCCTCTGTGAGGCAGGTAGCAATAGGATTATCCCTGTAGCAGGGTCCATTGCGCTCACTATTCTTCCCCTCACCCTGGTATCTGAGCACCTTAGCTAGCTCAAAACGCCTGTTGACATCCGTGGAGCTTGGATTTCACCCTGCCACATAGGAGGCTATCAAATCACAGAGCTTGAGTGACCTGTCTGAGCCCACATCCCTTCATATCCCTGGCTTCCAGTCCTGCGTTCTGCTCTTTGGATTATACCTGGCGCTAGAAGATATTTAAGCTGCTTGAGGACCTAAGTTAGTCAAATGCCATTAGAGTGTGTAGGCTAGGCCATTCCTTTTGCAGGCTCCTCTCTTCTTCTCAGTGTGTTGCTTCATTGTTGTATTGAAATATTGCCCAAAGGCCCCCATTGGAGGCTGTGTGGTCTATTGGGAAGGGCACTGGTCTGGGAACCAGGAGCCTGAGCTATTCCTAGCTCTGCTGCTGACTTGCTGGATGACCCTGAGCAAAGCAAGTCCTGTGTCCCTCAGTTTCCCTCCCACCCTGTGTCTGTCTGTCTATCTGCTTAGATTGTAA